GGTTCGTTTCGAAGGTATCAGCCAACCTGGCCGCCTCAAATTATTTTTTTTTGTATAGCAGTGTTTTAAGTCGACGATTCCTGCAGCAAAGACACGAACCTCTGGTCCCTACAGACGTCCAGCAGGTTATCAATCAGATAAGGTGCACCAGCTCCTCAAAGTTAGAGACACACTCGCTTTTATACCAGACTGGTTAAAAAAGGTATGGTTTGCTGTCTCACAAAGTCCACCAGGGGTTGACCAAGCTGCCGTCCTGTCAATTTGAAGGTCTTACGATATTTAGCTGGGATACATGTATATGCTCCCAACACTGTGGTCTTCATATTGATAATCGGAGAATTCTAGCGTCAGTTAATCCGACGTAAATTCCTGTGCTTACCTATTAATGCTGTATGAACCAACGCTGCCCAGAGCTGTTTCCGGCCCGCCTACAGGTCGAGCCTGATTTTCGAAGCTTTCGAAAAATGCTCTGTTCGGCCGCATTGATGCGGGAACAAGCTGTACTGTTTTTGTTAACTGAATTCGTTTACGAAGCAAAAAACTGCCTCCTTTCTCATTCTTCAAATTTTTCCTTGACGAATTGCTTTGTTCCTAGTTTGCCTCAAGATTGATTTTTGCCAGATGAAGTGCCAACACGTGATTCACCCTGAGGACAACCAGCTTGCACATATGGACCATATTGCTCCGTAGGTGAGTATATATTCCTCTGCGTGAACATAGGAGATTTTTCCTTAGCTCCCGTAGAGGGAGGAGTTTTGATGTGCCATCTCTTCTTCAATAAGTATGTCAGCAATAAGTGAACCGTAAGTTGCGAGCTTGTGAGAGAGTGCGTTTATAGGGAATGCAATGGAACGAGCCAATTTGCCAACAACGCTGTAGGGAAACCAAATTTAGGTAGTGTGTATGCAAAGTATATTGCCGACACCAGGCGTCTGATCTGTTTTAGTGGCATAAGTTATTCGCTATGCACAGTTACGTATTGACCCCAAATCGTAACACGTTTCATTTGCAGTAACACGCTAAGCTCATGCACAGTGACGATTTGCAGAATACGCATACAAGCAAGCCGAATGCAACAAGATGACCGTAGCGAAGCGAGCACCTGAACAAGCTAGTAGCGTAGCTGTTGAACGTCACACAATAGCAAGTGATCATAGCAACTGACAAGCAAAATTTTTATAAGCGAAAGCGAAACAGCAAGCTACACCAATTGTTCTGCTTACAAGCTTCACCCTATGCTCAACCGTTTCTCTAGGTCCAGCTCTCGGAACAGGTACCATATTACAACCTAGGATTTCAAATGGCCTGTTATCCAGTGTAATGGGGAGCAAATTAAAAACACAGTAAGTTGAAAAAGTTTAGGACTTCTATTATCCTTCCCAATTATAACAGCAATTATGTTTACACTATGTCAGTGATTTAAATTTGTTGCACTCCACGGTAGCGAAGGCAGAAATAGAAGCCACAAGGCTAGCCAGACCGTGCTTCAACCAGCTCTAGAGTGGGAATGACAAGGGCAGACAGGAGGCGGTATCCCATAACCTCGGCGATTGTCAATCCCCACCTTCTTATTGGCTAGAACTGGGTCAATGTTGTAACGATGGGGCTCCATCATCCATCCTCTTTAGCAACTGGTCGCTGGTTGGAGGGAGTTAGCCTGTAATGAGGGTGTGGTTCCTGCGCGAATTAAAAGCGTTACGTCCTATTTGCATGCCACAGAACCACCATCCACCATCACACCACCACATCACCATCACCACCCCACCAACCCCACCACATACCCCCATCACCATCCACACCCACCACACCATCACACCACCACCATCCACATTTCCACCACCACCATCACCACCATCACCACACCACCACCATCACCATCACCATCCCTCACACCATCATCTCCACCACCACCATCACCATCACCACCATCACCACCACCATCACCACACCACCACCATCCCCATCACCATCACCACCACCACCACCACATCCACCACCATCCCATCACCATCACCACCACCACCATCCACCCATCACCACCACACACCACCATCAATCACCACCACCTCACACATCACCATCACCACCACCATCACCATCACCACCATCTCCACCACCATCACCAACCACATCCACCATCACCTCCACCTCCACCATATCACCCATCACCACCCCATCACCACCACCACCACCATCACCACGTCCACACCACCACCACCATCCCACCACACCACATCACCACCACCACCACCACCACACCACCACCATCACCACACCCCATCACCATCACCACCCACCATTCACACACCACCACCACATCACCACCCACCACCGTCACCACCACCATCACCACCACCAACACCATCACCACCACCACATCACCACCCCCACCACCACCCCCACCACCACCACCATCACACACTCCATCACCAACCACCACCACCACCATTACACCACATTTCCCACACCACCATCATCACCACACCACGCACCCATCACCACCACCTTCACCTCCACACCACCACCATCACCACCACACCACCACCATACACACCACATCACCACCTCCACCAACATCACACACAATCCACTATCACATCCAGCACTCACCAGTATCACCATCACCACACCCCCATCACCATACCATCACCAACCCACACCACACTACCACCGCACCACCACCATCCACCATCACCACCACCACGCCACCCCATCCACACCATCACCATCCACCATCACCTCCACACCACTGTCACCATCACCACCCATCAACACACCATCACCACCACACCATCCCCACCACCACCATCCTCACCGCAACATCTTCCACAATCACCCAACATCACCATCACCACAACCATCACCAATCACCATCACCACCTCACCATTAATCCACCACCATCACCACACCACCACCACCACCCATCACCATCACCCATCAACCACCATCACCACCATCACACCACCACCACACCATCACCACCACCACCATCACCATCTCCACCACCAACTTCACCATCACACCAACCATCACATCACCCAACACATCACCACCATCACCTACATACCACCACACCGCACCAACATCAACCATCCACTGTCACCATCTCTCACCATCTCCCTGTCACCACCACCACCACCACCACCATCACCATCACCACTGTCCACATCACCACCATCACCACCATCACCACCATCACCATCCACATCCATCCACCATCACCTCCATCACCTCCATCACCAGATCACCACCACCACACCAACATCACCATCACCCCCCCATCACCATCACCACCACCAATATCACATCACCATCACCACCACCACTATCCACCTTCACCAGCAACCATCACCACCACCACACCACCATCTACCATCACCATCCCACCATACCATCACCCACCACATCACCATTCACCACCACATCACCACAACATCACCATCACCACTGTCAAATCACACCCATCATCCCATCACCACCACCATCACCACCATCCACCATCACCACCACCATCCCATCACCAACCACCACCATTCCACCATCACACCACCACCACCACCATCACACCATCACATCACACCACCATCTCCATAACACACCACCTCACATTACACACCACCATCACCACCATCACACCACCACCACCATCACATCCAAATCACCACACCATAATCCACCGCACCACCACCATCACCATCACCACATCACACCACCATCACCACCACCACCACCATCACCATCACCATCACCACCACCACCACCACATCCCACACCATCTCCATCCCATCACCCCAAACACCCCACCACATCACCATTCACCCACCACAACCACACCATCACCACCACCTATCACCACCCTCCACCATCACCACCACTCCATCACCATCACACCATCACCACCACCATCACACACCACACCATCACCACCACCACCACCAATCATCCACCATCACCACCACCATCACCACCACCACCACTCATCACACGACCTACCACCACCCACCACCATCACCACACCCACCACCACCACCACCACCACCATCACCACCATCATCACCACCATCTCCACCACCACCCACCCACCACCATCACCACCACCAGCATCCACCATCACCCCCTCCATTCACCATCACCACCATCACCTCCACAACGCCTCTGCCTTTGCATATTCCCTCACATTTATCCCGTTTTTTTCTATAATCCACTTATGAATGCCACCATTTTCATTCCTAACTATTATTTAATACATTTCTCACGCCCTATTACCATATTATGGTATTTAATGGGTAATTATGAGGCTAAAAAACTGAAAAATATTAAAGAGATGTGATTGGTTTGGCATGCATCATGATGGTTGCGGAGTTGTGTGGGGTGTGGCAGGTTTTTGCCATTTTCGGATATTTTTATGTGTTTAATTGGGTTTTATTGCATTGTGGTGGTGGTAAATCATGTGTGTTGGTTGGTGTTATAGAGGTGATGAAAGTGGTTGGCATCGGGTGGTTGGTAGAGGTTGATTTAGATGAGTGTAAATAATGTAGGGTCTTGGGCAGGGTCGCTAGGTGCTGTGAGGCATCTCTTATGGAACAGGTGAGGTTTTCAATTGAGTTGCGCCCAATCTTTTAACTAACTTGTAGTGTATCTAGCTGACCTAGCTTTCTAGTAGGCCTACTCGTTATACTCGCCTCCACGGTCTACCTGACCAACCTAGAATCCATGGACTAGGCTAGCTGCGGGATCGGGAGTTTTGGGAGGGATTTACCAGGGCCATGATTTTCCTCTTCCTCCCACAGGTTACCCTTACCGGGGGCCATGATCGATTGTCGGCTATCTGAGGCAGCAGGTAGGAAACCCCACACCCCTCACGTCGTCGCACCTAAACCCAGCTTCCACCTACTTCCCCTATCTCCGCTAGGTGAAATCTTCATTTCTAGCTGCTGCTGCGGCTAGGAAACGGATTTATGCAGAAGGATTTTTTTTTTTTTATTATTACCCAGCCGTCTACAAGCAAAATCGGGGCGCTGGATCACGGATTTGTGTGTTTTTAGGCCTCGTCTAGCGTGTTTTCCTAGGTTTTCTAACCACGTGGTGATCTAGTAGGCCTGCTAGTGCCGGTGCCTAGTTGAAAAAAAGGCTAAATAGGCCTATAGCTTGAAATTATCTAGGATTTTGTGTGTGCATTTCAAGGTATTGTGTACTGAGGTGAGGTGAGTTTAGGCTTATTTAACAATTTATAGGCCTTTATTCTATTTCTAACTCTACCGTGGGGTTAGAAGCGGTGCTAGAAATAATTAGGTGGTAGGAGAGCGAGTGTTAGGCCTAAGACGGCCTTAAAAAATGTGAAATAAGCCAGTCCGTCACCTCATGTTCCGGTTGCTTGGAGATGACTAAGCGCTAAGTCATTACTAGGAAAATCTAGATACGAGTGAAAATGAAGGAAAAAAATCTAGTATCTTTTTACCTAGATGAGTAAATGCGAGTATCTCCAAGTTGAGATAGTGAGAGACAGGGTGAGGGAGACACCGAGAGATCGAGACATCTCACAGTGAAGTGACTACAACAAATATCGTAGATACGAATGAACAATGGAATAAATGCGAGTGTCTACCAGATTAGTGAGATAATGAAGATTATCTCCCGAGGAGGGAGACACCCAGAGGTAGATAGTCAACGTGTAGTCATCTACCCTTCCAGCCAAACCTTCTTTATACCCTCCCAGACGCACCCGAAACTACACCAACAACTACCTTGCGTATACACCAATAGATACAAATATCTAAGAGTATCTATAGATACCCATGGAGAGAGAATAAGACAGCGAAGACATCTTGCTACGAAGACATCTAGAGAAGTATCAGAGAGGCGGCCATCTTGTAGACGCCATCACAAGTGTAAACAAGTCTGAAGGTGAGTCACTATTTTGACTATTTTCCCCCTTATTTCACCCTTAATGGGGCACCTGCCCACTCTTGCCCATGCCCATACCCCTTACCTATCACCCTGACCCCCAAATACCCCTAAAACCCCCCTGGGGGCGGGGAAATAAGTGATATGTGACGGGGATGTGGGCGGCTGACTCAGCCTCAGATTATTTTAAATAATTAAATAATTATAATAATTATTATAATGATGATAATTATGATGATTATAATAATGTATTTTGTCGTATGTTGAGTGAGAATGTAAGAAGCACTGGGGTAGGCCTACTGGGCCATGCTAGGCTGGTTGAACTCATCCATAGGCCTATTGGACCGTCAGTGTTACCCACTTTTCAGGCCTATTTAATTACAATAGGCCTATATTGGTCTTTAAGTGTGATTTGACCTATTTTTTCACAAAATTTGACTTAAGTTTTCTAAAACAGCCACTGAATCAATAGGCGTATCAGTCCCTAGGCCTATCAGTCAGTCCCTAGGCCTATAAATAGGTCTCTAGGCCTATCAATTAGTCCCTAGGCCTATAAGTAGGTCTCTAGGCCTATCAGTCAGTCCTTAGGCTTATTCAGTCCACGTCCCTAGGCCTATCAGTCAGTCTTAGGCCTATCAATAGTCCATTTAGTCACTTAGTGAGAAATTAAATTTTAGTCATTGTTGTGAATTAATAATTCTCTTCCATAATTGTGAAAAACGTTGTTACGCGGGAGAGTTTATTAATGTATCTCGGAGTCGAGTGCGACTTTAAGGTCACAATAATGTCGCTCGTTCGTGCTCGTCGTCTCGGTTCATCACGTCTCGCACGTCTGCAACTTAAATTGTTATTGCGATATATAGTTCTTAAAATATTTGAAAATATTACACCAGTAAGACTGTAATGTTAATATTGTAATGTTAATTACTTTACCTCCGAGGTAATTTACTTTAAACTGTCTCGTACGTAGATCTAAGTAGACGTACATGAGCGCTAACCGATGCAGATCTATGTTTTATTTTGCATAATGTGAAATCTATGATAGAATCATGTCTATGTCCAGAGCGCTACGCATGTCAACGTAGATCTACGTTTGGACAGTTTAAGAATTAATATAAATACAAATTAATTACATTAGAGAAGTATAAAGGACATTTTGGTATTACTCGCCAAATTAAGATTTGGCATCATATGCTAACACCTCCCTCTCGGTAGGCAATTCATATTGACCAATATAAATTAACATACCTGTAGCCAGAATTAATACTCTGGGAGGCGGACATTACGTGCAGTGTTAACTTCTTCAACAACTGACGACACCGCTTCTATTACACCTTTGTTAATTTTCATTTAAAGATTCAGCTCATTTCCAGGTTCCACGAGAGAAGTAAGTCCGCCTCTTCAGGACGGCCACCCGGGCCATAATCACTCAGATTCAGTTTTCCTTTTATGACCTCTCCCCTGGGGTCAAAAAAAGAGCTGAGAGCCAGCAGTCAGTTTCCCCAACCCTCTCCCCAACCCCCGCTTGACTCTAACAACCCCTCCCCCCTCACTCCTCGTTTCCCTCACAAGAGTTTGGTCAGGGTCCCTCGGTGTCACCCTTAACCCGTTCCGGCCCTTTGGGATTTATACCGAACAGGAGTTAACCAAAACGATTTTCCCCGTTAAATTATGGGGGAAAACGTTAATTTTTCCCATAAATAACCCTTTATTTTTATTATTATTTTATTATTTTATTATTGGTATTTTTTACTTTGATGGGGTTGTTTGTAAAAATTTTAAACACGCTTTTTACAAAAATATGTACAAAAAATTACAAAATTTAGATAAAAATAAATGCAAATTAATCTCCTTTACTTTGCTGGAAAATCGAGTGTCTACTGGATATTGTCTCTGGGAAGTGCACTAGGATAGTGTCTACTGGGATAGTGTCTACAGGATAGTGTCTACTGGATAGTGTCTACTAGGATAGTGTCTATAGGTAGTTCCTAGGTAGTGCTACCAGGTAGGATTAGGAGTGTCTCTAGGTAGTGTTACTGGATGTGTCTACTGGGATATGTTACTAGGTAGTGCTTTAGGATAGGGTCTACCAGGATAGTGTAACTGGGGAAGTGTCACTAGGTAGGTCAACTAGGATAGTGTCATGGGATAGTGCCTACGGATAGGCCTACTGGATAGGAAAACAGGAAGTGTCAACTGGATATGTCAACGGATAGTGTCTCTAGGATGGCCTATAGGTAGTCCCTACTAGGTAGTGTCTACTGGATAGTGTCATAGGTGTGTTACAAAGGTGGTCATAGGATAGTGCCTCTAGGATTTTTTATAGGTAGGTCTCTGGGATAGTGTCTACTGGTAGTGTCTATAGGATGTGTCTACTAGGTTGTCTACTGGGATATGTTACTAGGATAGTGTCAACTAGGATAGTGTCAACTGGGGAAGTCCCTACTGGATGTGTCAACAGATGGTAAAACTAGGTGTGTAAACTAGGATAGTGTCAACTAGGATGTGTTACTGGGAAAAGGTCAACAAAAGGATAGGGGGGGTCAACTAGGATGGGTTCAACTAGGTGTGTCAATGGATGTGTTACTGGATAGTGTCTACTAGGTAGTGTAACTAGGAAGTGTCAACTGGATAGTGTCAATAGGAAGTGTTACTGGGATAGTGTTACTAGGATGTGTCAATAGGATGTGTAACTAGGATAGTGTCTCCAGGTAGTGTCAACTAGGATATGTCAACTGGGATAGTTCAACTAGGTATGTTACGGATAGTGTCAACTAGGTAGTGTCAATGGGGATAGGTCAACTAGGTATGTCAACTAGGATAGGTCTACTAGGATTGTCAATAGGATAGTGCAACTGGGATAGGTCAACTAAAAAGGTCTACCGGGTGTGTCAACTAGGATAGTGTCTACTGGGTAGTTCAACGGGATGTGTCAACTAGGATATTTGTCAATGGGATGTGTTCTAGGATGTGCAACTAGGATGGTCAACTGGATAGTGCAACTGGATGTGTCAATGGATAGTGTCAACTAGGATAGGTCAACTGGATAGTGTAAAACTAGGTAGTGTCATGGGAATTTGCAACTGTTAGTTAATGGGATAGTTTCAACAGGATAGTTAACTGGGAAAGTGTCAACTAGGATTGTCAACTAGGTAGTGTAACTAGGATGTTCTACTGGGATGTGCAACTGGTTTGTGTCAACTGGATAGTGTCAACTGGATAGTGTCAACAGGATAGGAACTGGGATAGTGTCTACTGGATAGTGTCAACTAGGTAGTGTCAATAGGATATGTCAATGGATAGTGTAACATTTTTGTCAATAGGATAGTGTCAACTAGGATAGTGTCTACTAGGATAGTGTCAACTAGGATAGTGTCAACTAGGATAGTGTCAACTAGGATAGTGTCAACTAGGATAGTGTCAACTAGGATAGGTTAAAAATAGTGTCAAAGGATAGTGCTGAAAGGGAGGAGCAGGAAATGTTTTTTTTTGGGAAGGAAGTTTTCCTTCTCTTTTCTCTTTTTCTTTTGGGACCTGGTAAAAAGCCCCAAAATTTTGACTTTTACAAAGATTTGCCCAAAAGAACTTTGCTTCTCCCTTCCCTCGGAGTTTCAAAAATGTGACAGTCTGGTCATCCCGGGGGGGGGGGGGGGGGGGGCTTCTTGCAGATTTTTGATGCCAACCATTCGGCAAAGATTTCCTTGATTTATGAAGTAGGGGCTTCCTCTATTCCTTTCAAAAATGAAGAGAGTGATCAGCTTATCTTGTGCTCCTCCTCAATTTTCCCCCAGCTCCCCGGTGGTCAGCTCTTCCCTGTGCTCCTCCCCTAACTCCTCCAACCCCTTCACTCAATCCAGACCCCTGGACCTACCCAGAGGACAATATCCTCCATTATGAACAGCTCAAAGTCCTTTCAGCCCCTGCTTCTGGCCACAAATTCCTCCAACGAGTTATTTTTCTGTGTGAACTTCCTGCCCCCTTTGTCAATGAGAGTTTGCAGTGTTTGATAGTAAGTGATCTTTCCAAAACTCTCTCAGGGTTTTTAAATTTGGTCGAGGTCACAATCGTGATACCGTTTTTCTCGACATCGGTACGCAGCCTAGTCCCCAAAATGCGTGGGCCCCTTCATACTTTTCAACAATCCTGTTTTGGGTTCCAGGTGATCATCACCATTTTCTTGTTGATCTTTCCCTTAACCTTCTTAGAATCAGGGTTAATGAATTTGCTAAAAATTTATACGAAAAATCAAAAAACCCAGAAAAATTTCCCCTTACAGTGCTGGGGTTCATGAATGGTAGGGAAAGGGGGTTACTGGTTAGTGGGTTCATGGCTTGTCTTGAGAGAAGGAAACAAGGGTAGCGTGCGGTTCATGGGTCATTTGACCCTACGGTTTTTAGACTAGTCGCATTCCCAAAAAAGGTTGTATTCCCAAAAAAAATTTTACGTCCAAACAGGAGTATACCCCAAATTGGACTATTCCGCGTAACCGGGACCATGTAGTTTTTTTAAATCTATTAATACTTCATATTTACATTTTATTAACCTACATCACTTACTGTTATAGGGAAAATTATAGCAAATTTTCCCGGCTATCAGTCACCCCCAGGCCTGCAATGACTGGGCCCATCAGTCCCCACATTCTCAATTAAACCCTATCTTATCAGTCAGTTTAGGACTATCAGTTCTAGGTTGATCAGTCAGTCCCTAGGGCCATCAATCAATCCCCAGGGGTGTTAATCGTCCCTTGACCCATCAGTGTCCTTTGGGCTATAAGTCCCTGACCTTCAATCAATACTTAGGTTATCAGAAATCCTTTGGGTTATCAGACCTCGGGCCTTTTAGTAATCCTTAGGCCTACAGTGCCTTGATTATGATCTCTTGCCTGTCAATCAATTCCTAGGCCTACCCCTAATGAAGGCCCCAGGGACCATAAAAAAGGCCCGGGGCCCCCAGGATACTCTCCAAAAAAAATATTTCTGCCACTCTAATAAAAAAATAAT